TGAGAATCGTTACAAGCTTGTTGCATGCAAATTATAAAAAAATCTAATGACTAGATTTTCTACAAATAAAAACGATTTTAAAGGTCTGTTTACTTTTATTCATGTTGCCATGGCAACGGCACATACGTCAGCTTAACCATCAAAAAACTGAAGTTTGTGCTGTCAGCTTGCTGCCATTTTTGGTGACCGAGAGATCAAGGGTTTTAGAGAAAAAGGTGAATGAAACACAGGTATCAAAAACTGTGTTCAGCCACCTTAATGTAAGATCAAGTTTAAATGTACAATTCTGAACAGTTGAGAAATATTTTAAAGACGTCCGTTCGGAGGCTTCGCGATATATGATGACAGACATGAAACAGTTCGACATTGCTCTTTTCCATAGAGATTAGAGAAGAATAATTGGTCGGTGTGAAGATGGAAGGAACCTTGAAATTTCCACAGCAAAATTAAAACTTCAGCTTCGTTTTCTTCCTGAGACGGGGAAACCTCTCCAGGCAACCAAGAATGCAACCACACTCGCCAGGAAAATAGCACAAAGCTAACCCTAAAACCTTCATTCCTTTAGTCCTGATTGTCTCAGAGCTGTCGTTAAAAACTGCTAACAGCGATTAAAAAGTTATCGAATCGAAGGCAAATCCTGAACAAAAATGGCAGCGACACATGTTTCGGCTTCCTCGCGCATTATGCGCATGATCGTTACGGTTCTCAAATGATTGACAGATTTCTTTACCGGGGCGATCATAGAAACCAGAAAAGCGGCGAGATCAGGTAGCTGCCAGCCCCCCTGCTTCAAGTGGCATGTACTAAAACCCGAAACAAGCGAAACGACCGAAACGAGTAAAATAGTAATTAAATAAATAAAAAAGTTAAAAAAAGCCTTGATCTCTAGCACGTTACTATGGTAGCCGGTTCTCGTACCCAGATCCTGCTCTTAAGCCACATGTGTGACATCGTGACATCACAAACCTGAAAGGTGGATGAGCGCAAGCGTGTCGAGCAGGAAGACATC